GCATGGTACGAACTTAAACACTACTACTATTGACCAATCAATCATAATTTCTCAACACATAGCAATTTGTAATATCGTAACAAAACACGTAAAAATTTATTAATATTATCCGCATTTGATACATGAAAATTTTGCTCGTAAGAGCATACATGAGTGATACTAGTTCAACAGCATAACGGCTCTATGAGTAGTGTAGTCACTTAAACATAGAGTCGGAGTACATAGCATATTTCCTAATGACCTACTAAGATAAGTCTATCCCTAACCGCGATGAGCTGCGTCCGGAGGTGGTGCCGAGGATGTGGATGCTCCCTGAAGACGAGCCACCAAGCGTTCTGCGTGCCAAAGTCGAGACTCCCACCGAACCTGCCTCATGTGAAAATCTCGGAGGATGTCACGCGTCTCCTGCTCCGCACGCTCGACCCTAGTCCTCAACTGGCGCACCTGATCAGCAGTGTCCTGGGCAAAGTCGCCCGTATTCCGTAACCGTTTCACCATGACTGGAAGGGCTCAGTCAGCCGGTCCTCCGTCTCTCAGGTCAAAGAACTCGCGTGACATGCCGTACGGGGGTCGCTGTCCCTGCTGTCTGCTCCATCTCCAAAGATCAATACCCAGGGCGATGTAGGACCAGTGGGGCCTACACGATAGGCAGGCACCCTGATCGGGTAAGGGGGGGGGGGTTGATGACTTCGGACTCCGCATCCGAATCACCCCCTTCACTATCATCAGTATCCTCCTCGAGGCTTCCTTCATCTTCCTCTGATTCGGCAGGCTTGCCTTCAACTTCGGCCTCTGGTTCCCCATGAGATTCCTCTTTGAGGTCTTCCTCGGGCACCTCCTCAGGCTCTTCCTCGGGCTCCTCCTCTAGCCATCCGTTGTTCCCCTGGTTAGGGAAGTAAGGATCTCCAGGGTGATGAAAACCAGCCATGCGGTCTGCGAGAGTGCGTAATTATGCTAACGTTATTCCTAGGATGCTACAATTATCGCATAGATCAAGTAGGCGTTCTCTTTTCGGTGGTAGGGGTATAGTTTTAGATTCCCTAGCTATCCCGATCTCATCAGGACGTGTGTTAGTTTTACTTTGGAGAGAATGTAGTTGATCAGGCTACATTCACTCCTTGGTATCACTAAGAGCAGTCCTGAATTTAACTGAGATACTAGCATTATTTTTGTTTGGTTCAGCGTTATGTTCCTATTCCTAATGCAAGCAAGGGTGTTTTATTTACTTGTTTTGTTCAGAGTTATGTTAGTCCCTCTTTTTGGTTTATAGTTGCATATCAATGTGTGGCTAGATATGCTAGTTCACTATAAACAAAGCTCTGATACCAACCTGTCACACCCCCGAACCAGACGGTGGAAACGTCCGGGGGCTGTTGTGACTCAATTGAATACCATCACAATGAATATACATGAAACATAACATTATACATCACCAAGCATTGGAATGATACAACTGGTAGCGTTCACATCCATTACATTGTTTCAAAATATTACATTCCAAAATACATGGTTCATTGTTACTTAAACAACCGCAAAACAATCATAGAATACTGTCCTTTCTTCACTTATCTGTTACCTGAGAATACAAGTATTTTGAAAAACGTCAACATGTGAAATGTTGGTGAGTTCATAAGTAATGTTTAAAATCCAATGTTTGTAATGTTTTTAAAAAAAAACCACCAGAAAATCCGATATTTTCTGAAAATAGAATAGCGTAAAAATATGTGAAGATCCATGAGTATGCTTGTTTGAATTCTATAGATGTAAGCGTAATAGTTGTGAAATTCGACATGTAGTTCATAAGTGTACTCGTTGAAAACCCTAGGAAAACCCGACGTTTTCCTATCACTTTGCTTTACTTATTTTGTGTACGGTTATTTCGTTACGTTAGAGGTATTTGTTGAGCTCCGGAGGCATTGAGTATACAGTGGGTGGTGAATTGTTGTAACGTCCGTTAATGAAAACGTCCAGTCGACAATCGTACTAGTGATCCCTTAGGCGTCACTCGCACTTATCCACACAACTCAATCCTCCCGGACTTGTGTAGTCCCACGACCGAAGGGAAAAAGAGAAGGTGCGAAACCCTCGGTATTTCCCTACGTCGTTCAAGACCATTGCAATTGCGAAGGGCCCGAAGCCCAACCCGCAATCGTGAGTTCCCGACTTTACTAGCAGCACTGAGGGACCCTTGGGGACCAGCAGCATGTTTGCCATTGAAAGTCCTCTTACACGCGGTCGAGTCGTATTAGACCCAACTACATGTAAGCAAGTGTCCTTTGGGCCTAAAGATCATGTCATTGGGCTAGCTAGGCTCGACAAGCATGATTTGTAACTTTTGGGCCTAAGGAGTGTACGTCGACGTATTGAGTAATTCCACGAGAGTAAAGAGTTCCAAGAGTTTCATATGTGTATTGAGCGTTATAGTGTTAGAAGTTTTGGATTTGTTATTGATTCGAGACCGAACCAATTCGTTTGGTAACAATTGTTGGTGATATTGTGTATTGTACTTCATCGAGAGTCGTAGTGTCAATCTTTGTTCACAACGAGTGTATTGAATTACCATTGAAAATTTTCTGTTTACAACCCCTCTTTATTTTGTAAATTTACTTTTTCACCCCTTTAGAAAAAAATTTCCGGTTTAGTCCTTAAACCATTTTTCTTGACATTTTAACACCAAAAATTATTGAAACTAATATTTTTAAGCATATTTTTCATTGAAAACAGTTTAAGTCCCTGAAATTGCAGTTTTCTCGGTTGTAACCCCTCTTTTTCGCAATTTTTACATTTTTGGCCCAAATTGGAAATTTTTTTTGCAACTTTGGTCCTTTTTAAATTTGAAAAGCATTTTAAACCTTTGAAAAGTACTTGTGACACTAATGGTCCATTGTTTTACAGAAAAACACAGTTTTGGCCCTCCAAAACAGAAAATTTCGCGTAATGGGCCCTATTGGGCCGAAATTGTCATTTTTAGCCCATTAAGCTTGAAATTTATGCTTTTAATCCTCCAAATAGTATATTTTCAGAAAATACATTATGGAAACTGTTTTGACTCATCTCACCCATCAGATTTCGTAATATTTCATTTTTGGCCCTTCAACTTTGTATTTTTAGCATTTTGTGTCAAAAAAATGTGTTTTTAGCCCAAGATAAGTGTTGTCAAGCCATTTGGCTATTTTTCTTGGTATACTTTGCATGTAGTAGTATATTTTATGCTAGTATAAGATATATCTCGGTTTTTAGCAATTCATAACTAGATCTAGCATCAAAATCATACAAAACATACATATAAGCATAGAAATCAACCAAAACATACACATAGTGATGGATCTACACCTTTGCTTGTATTCTCCCCCAAAAAACTTATAAAAACCGAAAATAAGGGGGTATGAAGCTCACCTTGGGTGTTGATTCGGTTTTTGAAGAAAGGATGGAAGAAATGAAGTGATTTTTTCGGCCTTAGCACCCATTGATGAAGATCTCGAGTTTATGGAGTTTTCTAGGAGTATGATCACCAAAGAAACTTGTTTAGAATAAGAGATCTCATGTGAGGGGGAAGTTTTGAAGCTTAGAAATGGAAAAACTTACCAAAGGATGATGATAATCTTGAAGAATCCTCTTGAAACACAAGCCAATTTCGAGATTTTAGATGGAGAGGAAGAGAGAAGTCTTGAGTGATCTAGAGAGAGTTTGTGAGAGATTTGTGTGTGTGTGTGTGTTGCTCACGGCCGAAACAAGAAGAGAGAGGGAGAAATAGAAATAAAGTGATATGCATGGATACATGGAATGGGTTGCATGGAGATCCAAAAGACAATAATGAGGTGTCAATTACAAGTCAACTCTCTTCATTTCTTCTTGGGCTTGGACCTTGGGCCGAGAATTTGGAGTGAAAAAGGGAAAATTTGGGCTTTAATGCCCACAAGCCCATGTGTATATTAAGTTGGATGAGTTTTAACCTAAAAAAAAATATAATATGATTTTTACACTTTGTTGGGCTAGTTTAGGTTAATCATGGTTCCAAATTTTGAATTTATTTCATTCTAGGCCCAATATAGCCCAAAATGTTGAAATAAATAGATGTGGGTCCAATTAGAGCCCATTTAAGTGTTCTAAGCCCATGATAGTCAAATTGGAAGCTTATTGGTCCATTTAGGTCCAATAAGGAAGTCCTAGTCCAAAATGGACCTAATCAAGCACTTCTAGGGTTTCCAATTGCTTGATGTAGTGAATTGGGGTTTAGTTTTCCGTTGAGTAAGCATCATACATGCTTTTGAGTTTTTGAATTCAACATTAACTTGAGTATAGTGATTACAAGACACAAAATTTCTAATTGTGATAGAGGAAGAGTGAATATATATATATATATATATATATATATATATATATATATATATATATATATAGAGAGAGAGAGAGAGAGAGAGATCGAATGGAAGATGTTAACATTTGGTCGTGAAACGAAAACCTTATAAAGGCTCTCCATAATTTTTATTGATCACAAAGCAATCCAATTAAAATTATAACATAATTATCTATTAGATAAATAGATAATTTTGTATTGTTTAATTAAATTCGACTAATTGAAAATCTAGTCCATGTCTTTAATAGTTTCTTATTAAACTACCAAACTATTAATAAATAAGAAACTATCACATATTTATTATTCTTTTTATTTTAGTTTGCAGACTGTGTGCAATGCAATATGCATACGTATTTTTAGTAATATAACTAACTTACTATGTAAGTCGACATTTCTCTAACGAATATATATACATACATATATATATATATATATATATATATATATATATATATATATATATATATATATATATAACATCAATGTCTTTATTGATTAAATTACGTTTGTATAGTACACAACGAGATAATACATGCATATCTGATATCGATTCAATCAATGCGGACATTATTATAATTAGATATGCGTTTTATGATGTTTTATCATTTATTACGATAGACATTGCATTTAAATTTATAGTAGATTATCTTCCACCACCACCGCCTCCTCCTCCTCCACCACCACCACCACCACCTCCTCCTCCGCCTCCACCTTCAGATCCGCCTCCCCCTCCTCCACCGCCTCCACCACCATCTTGGTTGTTAGACATTCCATTAGAATACACTTGAGTGTTAGGATATTGATTGGCATATTGTTGACTGGGATTAGTTGTTGTGCTAAGTGCAGCATTGTAGATTGAATTAGTTGACATTTTTCTTATATTAATTTCGTTGATCGCAGCTCCATTCTTGGATTGACTATCGTGGTCCATATTTACTATTATACTTCCTTTTGACATTGCTTCCCCTTTACCTTGGCCATTTCCTCGCAACTTATTAAGGATCTCATCTTGAATGTAATCTCTAACATGCCCTCCTCCATGTATTTCATCACGAACACTGCATGATAAGCTTGTTTTTGAATCACAACCACTCTTAATAATGTCCTCACTATATTCTAGGATTTTCTTCTCTTCTCCAACAAGCTTTTTACCACAAACAATATCAGTTGTGAAAATAAAAAACGATACAATAACAACCTTTAAAAGCTTAAGATACATTGTGTAGCTTTTCTTAATATTCCACTCGTGACTTGAAACTTTTTATCATGACTTCTATATATATGGATTTATATGTGTAGTTATTAAATATGGTAGTTAAGTTGTATTTATGTTAACCGGTTTACGTTTAAAACTATACATTAGTACCACTATTTTACATATTGTACAACTTGTTTGAGTTGACATAAGTAATAATTTTATATTTGTTTATATTTTATTAAATAATTTAAAATTATTTCATTTTAATTTAACTTGATACATAGCTAGTATATCATAATTGTATCATTTTGTGTCTCTTCAAAAGCAAATATATGATTACAATTGCACTTAAATGGAATGGCAAATAAAGAAAACATATTTTAGTAACTTAGTAATCAATTTACTAGTATGAAGTATTTCAACCTAAAGGTCTTTATGTTATTTAGTAAAGAATCCAACTATTTAAGTTCAAACGTGATTAGTTCAAACGTGATTAATGTGTACGCCAATCTTCTTCTTAACTTCTTTTCTAATTTACATTGAAGTAGACTTATCAAATACACATTTATGTCTCATTTTATTTTTCATATAAAATACATAAATAACAAATTTAAAAATTATGTATAATTATTTTTATGGAAAAAGAGTGTTTCAAATTAAATTGGTAAACCATATAAAAGGTTTAACAGATTTAAAGAACTTTTACAAATCTCATCCTAATTTACTATAATAACATATAAAAATTAGAAGATTTGGAAAGCAAGTTAATTTTTTTTCTAGGACTTACTGCAATATTGCTCAAAATGACTAATTCAAACTAGCGTGGATAATAAGTTACAAATAAATAGTGTAGTATACAATGTTTACAAAGCCTATATAATAGACAAATATATTACATTTTGAATTTGTAAATTTTTTTTATATTTATGATTATCATATAAAAAACTATGTAACATTTGCGGATGCCAAAACCATTATTTATAGATATTTCAGTCCACGACTAAGATAATTTTGTTTTACTTCACGAATCCAATATAAAATGAATAATTTACCATTAGAACATCTTCAATGGTGTATTTTTTATAGTGTATTATTAGTTAGTCTTTTAAATGACCATTTAAAACTATTTGAGCAAACAATTTTTTTTGTTTTTTTGTTTGACCACTCAATAATATCATAAATTTTACATGTCCACTTTAAATATATTTTATTTTATAACTATTTTATAATATTTTCAATATTTTTATTTTATTTTTATAACTAAAACAAAATATTTTTTCATTTTTCAGGTATATAAATAAAGGCTTGATATAGTTGTATTTTATATATTCATATTAAGAAATGATTTGTGTTAAAAAATAATTAATTAAATTAGATGTTCTGTAAAACATTTTATGTGGATTAGGGAAACATAGTTAAGTTTGTAGAAAAACTATTAAAATAAGGTTAACCATTGGAGAAGTCAGTTTTTTAGAGGTCAAAATTATTAAATAATGAGGTGACAATAACCTTAAGTTATAACATGAGTTAAACATTGGATATGCTCTTATAATTAATTTACTTCATAAGCCACCCTGCTCAAAATTTTCTTTTCGTCCTCATCTACAGGGCATAACACCACCCCCTACACAAGCTTTTCCCCGATCTTGTACCATTAACACTTCAAACCTAGTGCATGGCGTAATGTTTTTATTTTAAAAATGTTTTCTAAAAATGTTATACATTAGGGTTCGTAGAGGTTTATAAAGATCATTTGGATCATAATTTATTTGTTAAAACCATAAAATATTCTACACAAAGGCTGAGTCTAGAGCACGAAATAATGTGGTTCCGCAATTAAGTGAATCCGATAAAAATAAAATAATCAATAATAATTGTTTCGGGTCGGTAATATATGCATATTTATTCATGTATTTTGTACATATTTCAAATAGTCTTACCTAAAATTATTTTTATTTTGGGACATAAAGTAGTTATTATGTTTGAAATATGTTTGTTTAGTAGCAAAGAAATACTTGAGATGAAAATGAAGCAAACAAGGAGCTGGAAGCAAGAAAATATGAGCTAAGGCAAAAGAAGACAAAGAAGGCTTGAAGACAAAAGACCAGAACGTGGGAATCATGCACCATGACGTGGTGAATGGAAAATTCTCAACAAATGAGGTAACTTAGAGAATATGCGATATTCATGAAGACCACGACGTGTTGCCTTTTGAACCGCGTCGTGGTGGTCAGATTTTAGGAGAGTATATATATTCGAACATTAAATCGATTTCAAGATGGAGAGGATTTAGGGATGCGATTATTCACTAGGAAAAACCCTTCCAAGAACTCTTGGAGGGCATAATTCGACTAGATATCAAAGGATAATGAGACTGGAGCAAGGTTTCACATCTATACATTCGATTTGATTATTTTAATGATGTTTAGCGTGGTTTACCTTTTGTTTATGTGTTTTTAGCTGTATTTAGGGGCTAAAAGCTCTTGATTTTATTTCGATTAGATGAACTCTTAATTACTATGTGTTGATTTCTTATTTTATTGATTGATGAAGTTAGTTTTAGCTTTAAATATTGTTTGGTGAATCTAAAACTAGCCTGCTTAAGTTTCTATCTTTATTTACTTGTCTCAAGATTGTGTAGTTAATCTTGAGTTATTTGCATGGAATTGATTTACCTAGCTATTTATAATCATTAAATTCTTAGAGCTAGTGATCAGTCATATCATAGTATAGGTGATAACTTAGTTGCTTAACTGTATTAGACAACAATAGTTGATCATAATATTTGCTTGATTACTAGACTTGAGTAGAGAATAGTAGTCTATAGATTCTATCATTTAGAGTCCAAAATATATTTAAAATCAATTTATTTTCCTTAAATTGCATGTTCATTAGGGTTAAATTTATTGAATTGACTTATGCTAGTTAGTTTGATTATGATGACTGGTAACTTTTATTTGGTAACTAACAGAATTAATCCACTATCTTGAAATCAAATTTATCAAACACGAGGGATTCAAAGCTAAACGAAAGCACCCTTTATTCTTGATTTAAAATCATCATTATAGTTGTTTACTTTAGTAATTAGTTGAGTATTTTAATTAATTTAATATAAACTTGTGAAATCAGATAAAACTGTTGAAATATAGAAGTGACCCTATTTAACTTAATCCAAATCTCAGCCTCTCCCTTATCAGCAACTACTCTCTCATCCACAGTCAAGTACCACAATCGCAGTCATCGTCATCAACACTTAGTCTTAGTATTTTATCTGTTTTTCTAAATGTACTCTCTTTTATCAAATGTGCCTTGCATGGAAACTTTAAACAGATAGGACATTTGTAATCTTTGATACTCTATAAAAGGAGTTTTCTCTTTCTGAATGAATACATCATCTACGCATCTTGAATCTCATATCTCTTGAAATTCATAACTTACTCTCTCATCTCCTTCTTACTCTCTAAACTCTACTAAACATAATCTGAAATATAACAGATCTAAATCTCTCCTTCGGAACAAGTCAATCTTGACTTAATCACTAAGTTTGATCTCACTTACTAACATAGTCTGATTGCATTCCTTGTTAAGAATCAACTTAAGTATATACTTGATATAATACTTGTTGTTATTTATATTTCCTTATATTTCCGCATCTAATCATCTAACTATCTAACTCTAACTTCTATTAATGTTGAGCTTTATGATCCTTTGAGTTAAACTTTAAATTCCACAAGATAAACTTGTTCTAACGATTGTTCAAGTGTGTTTCTCAAGTTTTTCTCTCAACAATTGGTATCAGAGCCAAACTGGTTGCCTTTTGAAGCAAAACTCTGATTTTCTAAAAGCCTTCTATACCAATGAAGCTCATTTCTTAAAACAAAAAAATAATTTTCAAAACAAGGAAATATAGCACAAGCATTATCTCTCAATGTTTCCAACAGTGTTGGTGGTTCTAATAGAGCTCGAATATTGGTGGCAAACGAATATCATCACTGGTCTCAGAGGATGGATAGATACTTATGGAGACTTGGAAGAGATGTATGGAGATCTGTAGAAGAAGGGCCACATGTCCCTGTTCTGACACCGGTTCAAACCGATGGCACCACAACTAGACTAGGAGGAGGTCAACCAGACCTGAATCGTCCTACCAAAGATGATCTTGACAAAATGGAAAATGACGCTATTGCCTTTTATGAGATTTCCCATGGAGTTGCTCCAGACAACTTCGACATTATCATAAACTGCAAATCAGCAAAAGAGATCTGGGATGTTCTCAAGAACTTATATGAGGGTACAGAACAAGCTTAAGATAAGAAGCTCACAACCGCACTCAATGAGTTCAACAATTTCAAAGCTCATGCTGGTGAAAGTTTAGAAGACTCATTCAAAAGGTTTAATCTGATTGTCACTAAGTTATCTAATGTTGGCACGGTTCGAAGCAACCATGAGACAAACCTTCAATTACTCAATGGTTTTGGAAGACACTGGATGACTGCTAAGATGATAGTCTAAGGAGATAGAAAGATCCACTCTTTATCTCTGTACAAGATCTATGGTGAATTACAAGCACAGGAATCTACCTTACTCAAGGATTGTGCTGACTTCGGAGGACCACTTGCTCTCATAGCACAAGCACCACATACTTAATATTACTCTCCCTTGCATGAAAATCCTCCACAGTCATACGAAGCTGAGTCAGAGTATGATGATGAAGAAGAATTCCAGAATGCAATTACTATTGTTAGCCAACAGTTCAACCGGCTACCACCCTCTTCTTTTCGTAAAAATCATCAGTTCAACAAACCTCCCTTCAACTGCAACTTTAATCCTGAAAACAATCATTCCCGTTTCTCCAAAAACACTCACCCACCATCGCAACCTCAGAACACTCAACCCAAAGAGGCACCGAAGCCCAAAGAGGCACCGAGGTTGAAAAGGCTTTCAAAGAGGAAATTCGATCTCGTGAAATCTAAGAGTCCAGAAAAGGTTGTTTTCTCAAATTACTTTTCAAAAAATTCTTT